AAAAACAAAAACAAAAACCACAGAGTATATGCCAAACTACTTCCCTCTTCCTGGCTAGGTTTTCTCTGGACTTTGCCTTTTCATATAATGTGTGCTCCTGGCGCCACCTGCTGGCAACCTCATATATCCTGATATTCTTTGTAAAACCTTTCTTTGTGCAGAAGTCAGCCATCTGGTTCCAAAAAATGCAAGAAATTCCAGGCAGGATAACCATCTGGTAAATCATCCACAAAGATGCTAAAAGCTATAAACTCCCAAACCAAAACTCACTGCTGTCAAGCTGGTTCCGATTTACCGTGACCCTCCACTGGGTTTCTGAGATTGCATGTCTTTACAGGAGGCGATTGCTCATCTTTGTCCCCCCGCAGATCAGAAAGCTTTTAAGGGAGGAAAAATCCATCCACCTCTCCCAAGGGCAAATCTCTTCTCTTTCCAAGGTACTCTTAGTTTCATCGGACTTGACCTGTTTGCAGATTCTGTCCAGGAGATTCTCTAAACATAAATGATGTTCTCTTGTCAAAGAAAGGTGGGCAAAGCTGGCCTTAGCCTCCTCAGGTGAGGTAAGGCCCAGGATAAGGCAGGCTGCCCTCTCTCCCGGTCCTCTGCTGTAGGCCTCCAAGTGAGTTCGTTTCCTTTGACAAAGCATGCACACACACACACACACACACACACACACATGCATCCACATCCCCCTCCCCTGTAAAACATAACGATTTGTCATCTGGGGTGGATTCTGGGTTCTTGTTTTTCTTTGTTTCCCTTTCCTTGACAAAGTGGGGGAAACCCCTTCCTGGGGGCGGCAGAGCTTATTTCTGACTGTTGGAAAAAAAGAAAGCAGGAATTGTTGTCACGACAATTAGGAGCTCATCAAAGCCTCATTTTGCTCATCAGCCATCATTGCCCTCCGTCCCGCACCCCCGCATGTTCCTCTAATTCAATGCCAGCCTAATGAATAACTCCCAGGAACAAAAGACCCTTTCAGCCCGGCTCACATAATTATTAGAGGAGACTTGCATAACTGTCGCAGACTACTCATGTTTTCAGGCCTGTCTGTAAATTTGGTTATTCACAACCTTTACAGCTCAATATTATTGCCTCACTGTGATAATTTTCTAATTATCCTAATAATACCTATTAAATAATTCCCATTAAATCACTTGAACTGGAGCAGCACAGGCCAGCTCAAATACAACTTAACCTAATAAACATTGGCCATTCATTAAGCAACAGGGCAATCTCTTAAAGGGGCTGAATAGAATATTAAACTGCAAAGGAATATTATTATTGCACAAATGTTATTACAAGTTCCAGTGTATTAATTTTGATGCCTGGTTTGCAGATCTTCCATTTGCTTTCCTTTGGGACACTCTCAGGACTTGACTCTTGTGGTCTCCAGACCCTTGTTTATCTGCCTCTGTCATTCACATAAGGACAATCAAGGCGAACAAGGCCCATAAACTTAGCAAGGAATTAGATTACCAAGGATATAAAGGGAATGAGTGGAATCTATCTTCTAGCTGGGCTGGCCCACCTTTGAAACCACCACAAGCTGGCTGAGTTTCTTTGTCGATCATTCAAGCTAGCCGTTTCTCCTGCACATTTGGGAGTGAGGGAGATTTTCAGAGGAAGCTTAAAAAATTTAATCTGTATCATTTCAGTTTCGAGCAGGAAAGATTAGAGAGTTAATTCCTTAAAAGTGGATATGCACATTTTACAGTATTTTGCAAAATAATATTAAACCCCTGAACCAAACCCACGGATACCAAGTATATTTCGACTCATGGTGTCCCTCCACTGAGTTTCTGAGGCTGTCAGTCTTAACAAAAGTAGAGGTTCTCATCTTTCTCCCATGAAGCAGCTAGTGGACTTGAACTACTGTCCTTTCAGTGAGCAGCCAGTATGCAATGTGTCATGTCACCAGAGTTCATTAAATACTGAGTGGCAGTATCAAATGCCTATAATGCTATGAACACGCTGATAGACATTTTGTCCATCAATATTTTCTCAAACCAATCTCACAACATAGGATTACTGTTTTAATTTTACAGATAAGAATCTAGGTCAAGAGAGGTGAACTGACTTTCTCAGAATCATACAGCCTAAATAAATGCAGCAGATCAGACTGTGAACCTGGCACTCAATTTCCACACTGTCTTCTTCTTTTTTTTTTCACACTGTCTTCTTGTGTTGTTAATGGCACACTAAAATACGTCCCAGATTTGTGATTTATCCCGCTCTTGCTTTTTGTGTAATCTTTTTAACATATGAGTTGAGTGAAAGTTTACAAAGCATATTGGTTTTCTATTAATCACTCATACACATTTTTCTTTATAGCAGTTATTCACACTATGTATCATCCTCTACTCACAAAGCAATCACACTCTACTCACTTCCTTCTTGTGATTCTCATTTCCATTAATCCATCCATCCTACTCTTCCTGTTTGTAAGACTTTACCTTTGGGCAAATGCTATCTTTTTGATCCATATCCTTAGTTATTCTAATGAGTAAGTGCCTCCTTGTTCTCCTGATAGGCCTGCCTATTGGTACTTTCATTATTTGTTTTTATTTATTGTTTATGTTTTCTGTTTGGATAAAAGTTGGGCCATGAGGATGAGATACATCTCATTTCCAAAGCTTCTTTGAAATGCAAACAAAACAAAAAACCAAACCACAACCTTATTGCTATTAAAGGAGAACTGACTCATAGTCAACCCACCAGTGAGTCTTTAGAGGTAGGAAACAGCACAGGGGGTGATTTCCCACCTTTCTCCCTCAGAGCAGTTGGTGAGTTCGAATCCTGTGCCTTTGAGTTGACAGTACAATTCCTTACCTCCCAGTCACCAGAGTTCCCTTTCCTTCACACACAGGACTCCAAATGACAAAGGCGCGGGCCTTCTTGAGTGGGATTAAGACTGAATACCAAGCAAAGAGAGTTCACTGCACCGAAGGTCCCAATGGCAGCCTCGAATAGTCTTGTTTTTGTCCTGCTTCTTCTAGTGAGTGAATTTAAGTTAGCACTGGAAAGAAACTCTCAATGTGTTTTAACCAGAAGAGGATTAAGTATTTAACAAGGTGTTTTGTTTTGTTTTGTTTTTACAGGAGTTATGTTTGAGTCTAAGAACGTGAAGCTGTCATTGAATAGTAGTCAACTTGGTAAGAAGCTGTGCTGCAATCTCAAAGGCATAGGGTTCGAATCCACTAGCTGCTCTTCAGGAGAAACTGCCTCTGAAAACCTGACAAAGGTTTGGCTCCGATTTGATGGTACACAGCACCACCACTGGCTTTACCTTACGTCAAATGATGTGCTAATTCAAGGATATGTTCTTCTTTCTTTTTTTTAAAATATGGAACACTTCCTGGATTTTTGTGTCATCCTTATGCAGGGGCCATGCTAATTTCTCTGTATTGTTCCGATTTTAGTATATGTGTTGCTAAACCAAGTACTATTTTTAAATTCTTGTACGAATGCTATACAGTAACCAACATATCGTTGCTGTTATTTATGAGAAAGCAACAGCTCAAAGGAGACTGGCCATGGTCATACAGCTTAGATTCCAACTCTAAATTTAGGCAATGTTCACAGCTTCAATGTCCAAATGTTTCTCAAGTTGTTTTGATTCCTGAATTGCAAAGAATGTTCATACTACAGTAAAAGAGGAGGCTAGAAATTGGATTCCAAGGCCAACCAATGTCACAAGAAATTTCTTTTAATTGTGATTTTAATAAAAGTTTACAGAAAACTTGCATTTTCCTTCCTACCCTCCTGGTTTGTTGTTGTTGTTGTTATGTGCCGTCGAGTTGTTTGCGACTCATAGCGACCCTATGTACAACAGCCCTAAACCCTGCTCTATCCTGTGCCAATCTTATTGCCTCTGACACACCCATCCCGATTACCCCAGTCACTGAATCAATCCACCTCATAGAGGGTCTTCCCCTCCTGCACTGTCCCTCCACTCTACCTAGCATGATGTCCCTCTCTAAAGACCTGTTTCTCCTTACAACATGTCCACAGTATCCTAACCCTAACCCCAGAATCCTTGCCTCCAAGGAGCAGCCTGGTTTAACCCTCTCTAGAATGAATCTGTTTGTTTTCTTGGCAGTCCATAGTACATTCAATACTCTTCTCCAGCACCACAGCTCAAAGGCATCAATTCTCCTTCTATCCTCCCTAGTCATTGTCCAACTCTCTGATGTATAACAAGTGATTGCAAAAACCATGGCCTGTATCAGGCGCACCTTAATCTCCAGAGAGACACCGTTGCTCTTGAGTACTTTAGAGAGGTCTCTAACTGCAGACTTTCCCATCACAATGTTTTTTTATTTCCTGGCTACTGGTGCCAAGAGTGTTGACTGTGGAGCCGAGCAAACTGAAGCTGTGAACAATCTCAATCTCTTCACCATCCATCCTGATCCTACCAATTGGTACAGTGGTGAGAATCTTTGTCTTCTTGACATTGAGCCTCAATCCATATTGAAGGCTGCAGTCCTTGACCCTCTGCAGTAAGTGCATGAGGTCCTCCTCAGTTTCATCCTCCTGGTTTACTTTAAAAAAATATTCATCCATCGATCCACCACAGTCTGACTTTGAAACTCTGAAGCATTTGTGGATTTACAACCACATGCCCATACTGCAGATCTAGAGTCTGGAACAGGATCTCATTGCTTTTCCCAGACGGTTCCCACACCAAACCCATTGCCTTGAGTCAATCCTGACTCACAGTGACCTTGGAGAACACGTAGGACTGCCCGTAGGGTCGCCTGGGCTGTGAGTTTTAAGGAAGTCAACTCTGCCACATCTTCCTCCCGCGCAGAAGCTGGCGCGATTGAATCGCTGGTCCTTGGGTCAGTTTGAAACGCTGATTCTTGGGTCAGTTTGAACAGGTGATCCTTGGGTTAGCAGCTGAGCCCTTACCCACCACGCCACTAGGGCTCCTGCAACATTCTCCTATCACAGAATTCAGCCCCCCAGCCCTGTTGCTGTGTCCCCAGATGCCATACCTGCTTCTCCTCTCAGTGCCTTCTCCAGCTTCACGCCTTGGATCTCATATGCCCTCTGCTGCTCCTCCACCTCCTCCAGCTGCCTCTGAATGGCCTGCAAAGCCAGGATCACAGGTCACAGGAGACTCTGGGTGTGTGGAGTTACAGGAGGGGGCTGACTCAGCCGCTTACTTAGTCTCCATTTCAATCTACCCTCCTTGATAAACTGGACAATGCCCTCTAACTTCCCAAACCACCAGATCTTCACATTTTCCTTTTCAATATGAAAATACAAAGCAAGGAATTTGTGTCTATGTCAATCCACCCACAGGGAGAGGTTAAAACAGTCCCCAGGAACAGAAGCCCTATGCGGCAAAAGTTGGTGGGCTTGGTCAGGGTTTCTGTAGCTCATGGCTCCTAGATCCCGTGGAGGTCAGTCTCTGTCTGATGGAGATCCTACTACAATGACTGGACCTAGAGCCACTCACTATACAGTGCAGGGCAAATGTCAGGGGGCAAACATATTACCCATTTTCATTCCATTCTCTTAAGAGAAACAAGTAGGCATCTCCCAGGATGAAAGTCTGGGGCAGGGACTCCAGTCAGCTCCAGGAGGTTGGTGTTCCCTTTTCAGACTGTCCTGCCCCCTCCACAGTGACACACTGTACTTATCCTCTCCCTGTCCCATTGGGCTAATCCTCAGGGCTCTTTTACTGTGGAAGACAACTGTGGCTTTGTTACTAGCAGATGATTAAGACAAGACACAAGCCATTTATCCCATTAAGAGACAACCTCACACCTGCCTGAGACTCACCACAGGCCACTAATTAAGGGTCATGACTGGGTTTGCATTTATACATTTATTTCTCCTACGAGCTACTGTTCTCTTGGGTAAGCTAAAAAAAGGAAAACCAGGGGAAGGTCTTTCCTATTGTACATTTGTCAATCTCCACCTCCTTTTTCCTCCTTTGAAACACCCCGCCAAGAGGCACACTAACTTAGCGTTCAGCAGAACACAAGCTAAAGCCAAACTCACCGTTGTCAACTTTACCTCCCAGTGAGTTTATAGGGCAGAGTATACAGAGAATAGAACAACTCCGTAGGGTTTCGAAGGCTGTAGTCTTTACAGAAGCACACTGCCACAGCTTTCGCCTACAGAGCAGCTGGTGGGTTCAAACCGCTGACCATTTCGGTTGGCAGTCAAGCTCTTAGGTACTGTGCTATGAGGGCTCCTGGCAGGAGAGAACGCTGAAAGAACTGCTCATTTCCGAGGTGCGTAGGACACGCTGGTGCTGCTGCTTTACCTCACTTTAGCTCTGTCTCCCTCTCTTCCCTTCTTAACCCTACATTTCTAACTCTCCCCTTGGTTTTGGGGTACAAGAGCTGAAGCACCTCCAACCCCATGAAGAAACCGAAATGACTGTAATGACTGAGTAGCCACTCGCTACCTCTTGTCCTAGGTTAGGTGCTTAAGCTCAAAACTTGAAATCTGAATTAGATGGTAATTCTTTCTATAATTTCATGTTGCCCTCTTCTCTCTAACAAAGACAATTATATCTTTAGAAAGTCATCTCTTCCTGTCATGATGCAGAATTTCTAAAGGAAAGGAAAAATTTAAATGACCTTATTACTGTGCAGTAGTAACTGTGTGGTCATTCTTCAGAAACCAAGGATGGAAGTTGTCTCAAAGACCAACAAGGGCTGTTCTGAGCGCCAGCAGATTAGGACTCAAAGGGCCACCTTTGTTCTTTTCCGGCCACTGCCTACTTTCTGGATTGAAAATATATGATTGAGAAATTGCTGAGTTTGCCAATGCATGTCATAAAGACTCGTCTTGTTCCTAGGAGGAAGAGTTGAAATGATTCATGGAAACCCATTTTAGGAAACTGAGGGTAGACAGTGTTGGGTTTATGGGAATTTTCCTATTTATTAAGTGAAAAGGGTGATTATTAAATCAGTTAGTGTGAAAAGGGAAGGAAGTTGGAGTGAAGGATTTCCATCTTGTCAGATACAATGTATAGGATCACACGGACAGCTTAAAGGAGTAACTGAAGAGAGGCACACAGACTACCCACAGCATTAGTATAGGCAGTCATTCTAGGTCCTTAGGCTACAAAACCCAATTGTTCTTCAAGTCTCAGTTTGGGCTCCTCTCATATATGGGTGCTGGCCTCAAAATCTCTATTGTCTGTATTAGAATGCTGGATGCTTGTGTTTGAAACTATCTTGGAGTGAAGAGAGCCTTCTACTTGTTTCCTCAGCAGCAAAGACACTGGAAAGAAGATAGTAGAAGGCATTTATCCTCACAGGCTCATGTGTTTTTAGCAGCCAGAGCTCAGAGTAGTTCTCACTGGTTTCAGACTCACTGCAGGACACAGGTCTACACAAAGAAGAAGTGGCTGGGAGTGGACCAGCTTGATAGATACCTGGGCCCAGCATTCCTCCAGAGATCACACTGGGGTCTACAGAATGGCCACAACACTGACCCATCAAAGAAATGAGACTGCTTTTCTTGTCCCATCTCGTCTCCCTTCTAAAGATTTGCAAAGTGCTTTCATGTCTATATTTCTGGGACCCCCAACCCCCAGGTCTAGTCCATGGACACAGGTTTGTTTTCTGACCTGAGCTTTATAAAGTCTTTTCAATTCTTCTTGCTTGATTAGTTGCTTTGTTGCTCTTTCCAGTTTCTTTCTTCTTTTAAGTGTCTTCCTCTGCAATAAAAATCAACAGAGGAAAACAGAAAAGTCTGAGAAGAGTGAGGTTGAAATTGACAAAGCACTGTCAGGACTTTCTGTGCTCTCCAATCGCTGGTTCCTGGCCTTTGATTCTAAAGCTGAGCCTCTAACCCTTCCCTCAATGACGGCTCAACACATCAATACTGTAAAAATGTGGACCTCTGTAGCCACATGTGGTAAGTGGACACTTGAAATGGGGCTAGGATGATGGAGAGATATAATTTTAAAATTTACTTTCAATTAACATAAATGTAAAAGTTAGATAGCCACATGTGTCTGTTAGTGACCATATTGGAAAGTGGTAAGAAGCTCAAGTGTCTGTTATGGATAGCTATATGCCACTTTAGGACTAATAGCGATGATACAGGGTGCTGTGTTTATATACTGAATGTGTAGGCAAGAGAGCTCCAGAGGCCACTAGCTTGATTTAGTTGAGGGAAGGAACCATGTGTGAATTATACTCTATGATGATGCTACCATAATATAGTGTTTCTGGGGACACAAAGAAAGTACCCATGAAGCTTGGATAAACACCTTAAATAGACCTGGAGTAGAGGAACAAATCTAAATCATTAAAATGAAAGTGGTTTGGGTTTTTTTGGGGTGGTTTTTTATTTTTGGCTTGAGGTAGACATATGATTACTTTCTGGATTCCCTACTTCACATTGCATGTACAAATACCGCATTAACATCATTAAGTTTTGTGTCTGGACCTTTAGGGAAACGAGCCTTTAATCTGAACACGTGTAAAACAAATGTATGCATCTTGATGGAGCCCCTTCCATATTTTAGGCACAGAGAGGAGAAGTCATTGTGTGGTCATTCCAATGCAGTGGAATGTTCAGGAGTCCCTTCTGACTGGGGAAGCAGCAGAGAGCCATGGCTGAGCCCTGGTGCCTGTTAGGCTGCTGGGGTTTTGACACATCACACCACTTCCTGCACTTCAGTTAACTCTCTGGAAAAATGAGGATAATTTAACAGCTATCTTGCAGGAATGTAAAAGGAATTTTTAAAGAGACATGGGGAGATAGTAGATGTCACATAGTTATTATAATTTTTAAACTACAATTGATGATTTCCCCCCATATATTTGTGTTTGCATATTATGTGTAGTAATACACACACACACACCCTCTATATTTATAATATATTTATATATTCCTGGATGAAAGCAGAGAATACCAGAAGAGTGTCTATTTGTGCTTTACTGGCTATTCGGTATGGAACATAACAAATTATGGCTAACATTAAGAACAAGAATCCCAGGATATTTAATTGTGCTCATGTGGAACCCATAACTAAGCCATGAGGATGCTGTCTGAACAGAGCAATAGTTTAAAGTTAAGAAAGGTGTACATCAGGGTTATATCCTTTCTCCATACCTATTCAAGCTGTATGCTGAGCAAATCATTCAAGCAGCTGATCTTTATGTAGAAGAATCTGGTATCAGGATTAGAGGAAGACTCACCAACAACCTTTGTTATGCAGATGATACTACCTTCCTTGCTAAAAGTGAGGAAGACTTGAAATACTTGCTGCAGAATATCAAAGACTACAGTCTTAACATAGATTACATCTCAACATCAAGAAAACAAAAATTCTCACCACTGGACCGATAGGCAACATCATGGTAGATAGAGAAAAGACTGATCTCTTACTAGGATCCACAATTAATATCTTTGGTACCAGGAGTCAGGAGATATATTGCACTGCAAGGTCTGGAGTTAGGGACTTTCCAAATTACTGAGCAGCAATGATGTCAGCTTGAAGACCACCATGTGCTTGATTCGGGCCATTGTCTTTTCAATCATTTGCTATGCATCTGAAAACTAGACAATGGCGAAGGATAACAGATCCCTTTGAGCATCTTTGCTTGAGAAAAGTACTGAATATCCCATGGACTATCAAAAGAACAAACAGGTATGTCTTGGAGAAAGTGCAGCCAGAATATCTTTGGAAGCAAAGATGACAAAGCTTTGTCTCACATACTTTGAGCATGGTGCCAGGAGAGGCTATTCTTTGGAAAGAGACATCATACTTGCAAAGGTGGAGGGAGGGTGAAAGAGAAGAAAACCTTTAGCAAGAAGAATTGATACAGTGACTGAAGCAATTGGCTCTAGTTAGATCAGAAAGGATGAGGAGGGTGCAGGATTGGACAGCATTCAAATCTGTTGTTCATAGGGTCACTATGAGTCATGCTTGACTTGATGACACCTAACAATTATATACATATACAAACATACACATATATGTCGGGGTTTTAAAAATTTTATTTTCTTATTTTGTGTGTGTGTACCATCAAATCAGATCTGACTGGTACAGGAGGAGATTGCCCCTCCTTCTCGAGTAGAGCATCTGGGGGTTTCAAATCGTTCACCTCTGGGATTGCAGTGCAGCTTCTTGCCACCAGAGCTCCTTCACATATATGTTGTTAATGTTAAGTCGAATGCAACTCATAGCAACCCTCTGAGCAACATATCTAAAACCTGCTCTATCCTGTGCCATTGTCACCATCTCTGACACACTTGAGCCTACTGTTGCAGACACCAGTCAATCCATCTTGTTGGGGGACTTCCTCTCTTGTGCTGAGCCTCTACCTTTCCAAACTTGATGCCCTTCTCCAAGAACTGACCCCTTCTAACAACATACCCGAAGTATGTGAGACAGAACTTCACCATCCTTATGTCTAAGGAGCACTCTGGCTGCACCTTTTCCAAGACATATTTGTTCTCTTGGCTATCTATTCAGTACTCTTCTCCAACACCACAACTTAAAGACATTAAGTCTTCTTCTGCCATGCTCAGTCACTCTCCAACTTGCAGATATATATGTATGACATATATTGCCATACATGCAAAATGTGTTCAAATTGGGCTAGTTTTACTATGAGTTTGCTTTCTCTGTGCACAAACTTCCATTTTATACATATTAGGATAAAAATCAGTGCATGATAGAGATTTATTTTAATGCTGGCAGAAACAAATATGGAATTTAAAAATTGTTATAGCTAGCCCAGTGCCTGGGAATTTAATATTTGTGATTGCCTTGAATGTTTGCCTGTTGAAAGAGCCATAAATTTATAAATGGGGAATGGAGATGTAATAGACTAGACATAATAGAGGCATAACTGACAGAGAGCTCTGATAGCCTACTGGTAAGAAGCTGAGCTGCAATTCCAAAGGCACATGGTTTGAATCCACCAGCTGCTTTATGGGAGAAAAATGGGCAGTGTCCTCCTGTGTGAATTACTGCCTCTGAAACCTGCTGGAAGGTCAGCTATGGGTCGGTTCTGACTTGATGGTACAAAACAAGAAGAGATGGGGGTGGGGGAGCGGGGAGAAAAATGAAACAATGAATAAATGGAATTTCAAAATCTCTGTAGATGTTCTTTGAAATTAGTAAAAAAAAAAACCACCACAAGAAGAGATACACTAGAGGAATCAAGTTCATAACGGAACTTGTGCCTGAAAAGCAGCAAGGTTTCCAGGGCCTTACAAATCCCTGTCATTCTGTCATCACCCACTCTATAGATGGAGTGAGAGACCATCACACTTATCAGGAAAAGCACCCAGCTCTGTGGCATCAGAACCTCTATCGATCATCAGTGAAGACATTAATTTGAAAGAGGAAACTGTTTTCAAACATCAATTTATCTTTAGGGTGTGGAATCCTAAAAATCTTCATTTTTCGGAGGTCATTTGAGATCTCAGAACTCAGGTTTATTCTGCAGCAAATCATCTCTCTTTCTAGGGAACAACTTCTAGATTGAAGTCTCTCAGCCACTCTTCAGGAGTAAGATTAGGAGATCTACTACTGTTGAGATTATAGCCTAGAAAATCCCACAGGACAGATCTACTGCCACATGGGATTGCTATGAGTTGAAAATTAACTCGATGCTATCTAACAGTAATAACATGTGTCAGACACTGCACTAATGATCACCTGTACCATGTCATTTATGTCTCGATTACATTCGTTTTACAGATAAGGAAATCAAAGAAGTTAAATAACGTTCCTAAGATAAGCACAGCTAGTAAGTGGTAGAGGAAACTCTGGTGCTGTGGTCTGTGGGAAGTTGTACAACTAATCCAAAGGGCACAACTCTCTGGTGATTTGAACCCACTGGAGAGGCTCCATGCAAGAAAGATGGGCAGTCTCTGCCTGTGTGATTTACAGCCTCAGAAAACCCACTGGAGGGTCAGTTATGCATCAGTCCCAACTCGACAGTAATGAGTTTGAATTTTTTAGTTTAATCCCAGGTAGCTTGATTTCTGTATTCCCATTTTCCTCCAATCTACACCAATTTTCCTTGTGCTAAACACTGTTCAGACACATCGAGAATGTCTGCTTTACAGTGTTTCTTACAGAAAAGAAACACCAAAGCTGTTTTTCCCCCAAAATATCATTAATACTACTTCAAAATTAGGGGTGGAGGAAGGAACTCTTGACAGCATCACAAAGTTTTAGTACGTTTTCAACAGCAAAACTGTTAAATTTGGCTTCTTCATAAAAACAGAGCCCATGGCATGGGGGCGGGGAAAGAGTGACAGGTGGCCAGGCACACCTGCCTGGGACAGAAGAGACAAAGAAACCAGAGGACAAAGAGTTCTCCTTATGCCTGTGCGGGAGCCCCTTGGGAAGTTTTCAGAACAATCCTTTTGCCGGTTCTCAATCCTGTTAGAGTGGGCCAGGTTGGGAGCTAGATGGAAAGAGTTTCCTTGCCACCCGGTGGGCTCCAGGGTTTTCTGTCTCTGTCCTGGGCCAGCAGGATGAGAAGGAGCTGTTTGCTAGGTGGACCCCACGTATCATCATCCTGCTAACCGCAGATATATCTGTGCTTCTCTAGTCCTTCATTCTCCACGAGTGTGCAGATAGTGCTGGGGTCTCTAATTAATTTGGATTTAAGATGAATTCAGGTCCTCCTTGGTGATGAAGTTCATTACGTGTTAGGTTGCTAACCAAAAAGCTAATGGTTCAAATCCACCAGCTGTGCAGTAGGGGAAATTATGAGCCATATCCCCCTACAAAGATTTTTACAGCCTTGGAAACCCAAGGGGAACTCGGAAATCAATAGAGCACACAGAATTCACTTGTGTGGAATAATGAATTAAGCAGAGACATCCACAGTTAGAAATTTAAGCTCACATATATTCTTCCTCACATGCACATGATCATTGTCATTAGGTGCTATTGAATAGGCTCCAACGCATGGTGACGCTGCCCTCTGCCTGCCAAACTCGGCACCATTTTCACAATCTGTTGCAAAGACAAATTGCATTGGGAAAGTCTACTGTCAGAGACCTCTTCAAAGTACTGAAGAGCAACAATGTCAGTCTAGAGACTAAGGTGCACCTGATACAGGCCATGGTCTTTGCAATTACTTGCTATGCATCAGAACGTTGAGCAATGGCTAGAGATGATAAAAGGAGAATTGATGCCCTTGAGCTGTGGTGCTGGAAAAGAGTAATGAATATATCATGGGCTGCTAGGGGAACAAACAGGTTCATCCTGTAGAGGGTGAAGCCACGCTGCTCCTTGGAGGCAAGGATTCTGAAGCTCCATCTGACATATTTTTGACATGTTGCAAGGTCGGATCAGTCCTTGGAGAGGGACGTCATACTTGAGAGGGTGGAGGACAGTGCAAGAGAGGAAGACCCTCAATGAGATGGATTGATTCAGTGACTGGGGTAATGGGGATAGGCGTGTCAGAGACAATAAAATTGGCACAGGATAGAGCAGGGTTTAGGACTACTATACACAGAGTCACAATGAGTTGCAGGCGACTCAACGGCACATAACAACAAAAACAACACCACCACGTTGTACTAAAACTCATTGCCACAGCCACTGTGTCAATCTGTCAATCTCAGTGAGGGTCTTCCTCTTTTTAACTTACCCTTTACTTTACCAAGAATGACAGACGTCCTTCGCCAGGGTCTGGCCCCCAATGTATGTGAGATGAAGTATCATTGTTTTCCCTTCTGTGGTGTTAGGACTTTTGAAAATGGTTTCTATATCCATTGTTTTAGCCTCCTCTGGGACCATGGTCTCAGCTGCCTCAACTGCAGACATGTGATTCACCATTGTTTAGCATTTTCAACATCATCAATGGCTGTGAGACCAACATAGGAAGGAGAGAGCTAAATAAATTATAGAGACACCATAGAAGGCTGTAACCTGATGGAGCCCTGGAGATGGAGCCAGAACTAGAGGTTCTGTTTGCAAGATGACTGATGGAAGAGTTGACTTGTGACTGCTGTGAGACACAGCTAGCTGGACGAATGAAGAAACCAGAGGCTTCTCGCATCTGTGTTGCTGGACTTTCATTGTGTGATGTCCTTTATCTTCCCAACCCGCAACCTATTTCCTTAATAAGCTCATCAACTGTGAGTAAAGCCAAGTCTGTGAGTCAATATGCAACAAATAGTTGGCCTAATGATTAGTAAGGGTAGGTGCAGCAGGGTGAGGGGCTATTATCTTGGCACTGTAGATGTTATTAATGGGAACAGTTCCCCTTTGTGAAGTTAGTGGAGGTTGGACTTTGCCTTCTCCATACTGCCATTACTCCTTTTACACCTTCTAAGAACCATCCTGGGTGTACTTCTGAGACAGATTTCCTTGTTCTTTGGCAGTTCCTGGTGTGTGCTGTATTCTCTGCCAACGTGGAAATTCAAAGACAAAAACTTGCTCTTCCTCATTCATTCACATGCATACGAAGCAAATGGAAAACACTATGACTTGGTTGAGATTTACATTCTCCAAGTGTGTGCAGATAACGGTGGGGCACCTGAATCTTCAGACCGGCACCCTTGCTCTTTAGTGATTTAAAGAGATTCTTTGCAACAGATTTCCCCCCATCATTTGATTTCTTAACTGCTACTTCCACTGAGTGTTGATTGGGAATTCAAGTTGATGCTAATATTTTCTTTAATTAGCACGATGGCCCACTTGTGAGGCCTTTTGTTTCCCTGATGTTGAGGTAGAATCCACAGGATGTCTATAGTAAGGTGTGTCTAAGGTTTGGCAGCGATGGCACTTGTTCTGGACAGCCTTCCTTCACTCAGCTTCCACACTGCAGTTTCTAACACTAACTGTGATAGATTATTCTGCAAATAATAATGACCACAGTTTCCCTCATCCTCCAAGAGCACACCACTCTGTGGAACTTTCTATAGGTCAAAATGGCACAAAGTGAGAAAGCCATTACTATTAATTTATATGGGATTTTTAAAAATATAATGGAAGACAAAGATTCTCACCACTGGACCAATTGGTAGCATCAGGATGGATGGTGAAAAGATTGAGATTGTTCACAGCTTTAGTTTGCTTGGCTCCACAGTCAACACTCTTGGCACCAGTAGCTAGGAAATTAAAAGACGTATTTCCATGGGAGAGTCTGCTGTTAGGGACCTCTCCACGGTACTGAAGAGCAATGGTGTCTCTCTGGAGACTAAGGTACATCTAATTCACGCTATTGTCTTCGCAATCACTTGTTATGCATCAGAGAGTTGGATAATGACTAGGGAGGATAGAAGGAGAATTGATGCCTTTGAGCTGCGGTGCTGGAGAAGAGTT